CTCTTGTTCCTCCCACGCGGTTCTGGTGAGCTAAGAAAATGTTTATCTCCCTGAGCTTGGCTTTCATAATTCCATTCCATCACACCCATCCAGCTCTCGGTCTTCCTTCTTTTAGGGGATCTACAAACTTGTGTCGACGGAGAGGATGGGATGAGTGATTTCTCGGGCTGGGGCGTCTTCCCCTGGCCAGACGCTACCGACCCTGAAGGCGTCACCCACCGATTTTGTCATAGGCCTCCCCCATATCGGAGCACAGGCAGACAACTTCTCCGCTTTCATCCCGTTCCACAGTGTAAAACACCTCGGGGTTGTCTTGATCGTCGCTGATCACCTCAGTGGCTTGAACTTGGGGGGGGAGAGAGAAAACGCCACTTGTGACAAAAGACACGAGAGAGCCGGCCTGTCCCCTTGAGGCTCTCGGTTCCTCCCTGCCCTCCGTCTCCAGAGAGAAAGGCTGCCCCCCAGGAGACGAGCTCAGCCCAGAAGAAGCCCAAGCAGGGCTCGCGAACCTCGGAGGGAGCGCGAGAGGCTGGCCGCAGGAGGGAGAGTCGGCTGGATGGGAGACCACCAGGGAGTTAGGCCGGGAAGTCGAAAATCAGCCTCAAAGGAGGTGGTGGGAAAGTGCCTGGCCGGCGCCCTGCAGCTCCAGCGCCCCTCTTTCCCAGCCTGTCCACCCAATAGCTACGCTGCCTGGGAATTCCTGAACTGCAGTCGCGTTAGGACCCGATGGACACAGAAGCCTCTTGCCTGTCCGGAGGGGACAAGCGTCGGTGGGGAGCCCAGCTGAGCGAAGCCAGCAAGAGACGGGAAGGGAAGGGAAGGGAAGGGAAGGGAAGGGAAGGGAAGGGAAGGGAAGGGAAGGGAAGGGAAGGGCCTTAAGTCAGGGTCAAGCACCTGGAGGAGCCTCGGCCATCTCTTCCGTCAGCTTGCCCAGAAATGAAGGGTGGACCTCGCAGAGGGTCTCTGGCGGGATCCTTGCGGGTGTCACATCATCTGATATGGAAACAGCAGGGAGGGAAAACATGGTTGAAGCTCTTAAAAAGGTGAAATGATGGACTTCCAGTCATTTGCCTTGGGCTATTTTAAAGTATGGGTTGGTGTGAGAACATCCCACCACCTGCTTTGGAAAGAAATAAATCAATGCGTATTTTGTCTTCCTAACCCTTATGCCTGGATCTGCTTTCCAAAGATCTGGAAAAACTGGGCTGTGAAGGAAGGTGACACTCTTCAGGATGTTTGCACTAAAAGGGAACCAGGACGCCAGTCTGTGGCTGGCTTCGGGTAAATGTACTGATCCAGGATTTGTTTTATTTTGGTTTGCTGAATAAACCACAGTGAGATTGTCTCCGGCTTCCCATGATGCACTAAGCTATAAAACACGGTCTACCATCTGGCTGGGATGATCAGCCACCATGAAAAGGGCCAGCTGGCACAGGACCTAGGAGAAGACAGCGGGCACCCAAGAAATTATCCTGCAGGGTTGGGGTCCCCCCCAGGAGGAGAAGCAACCAAGGAGAGAGACACAGAAGGACTTCTCTGCAGGGCGACTGGACCCCTGTGGGGCTTTGCAGCCACAAGCTTGTCCTGGTGGGAACAGAAAAGCTGTGTTGGCACAACGTGTGGATGTGCTTCGTCTAGCTGGCCCCCTCTTCTGAGGCAGTCTGCTGCTCCACATCCAGATGGGCAAGGTTCTCACCAAACGCTCAGCTCAAGGCTGGCAGATGAAAGAGAAAGTGGGTCAGCACGTTGGGTGAACACAGCTGCGCCAGGATAAGAAGAGTTCTGGGCTCCAGTAGGACTCCTGTGATGTTCTCACAGTCCCCTGGAAGGATGCTTCAAAGCTGTTTTTATTTTTCCAAAAGGAAAATGAAGACCGGCCGGTGAGGATGGCCTTCAGCTGGAGCAGCTTCTGGCAAGGTGGAGGCTGGAGGAGTCCTGATCTGCCTGAAGTAATGGATTTCCCTAGGCTGGATCATGGTTAGTGATCTGAGAGGACGTCAGAGCAGTCCTGAATTGAGAGGGGCGCTTCAGAACCAGTTAGCACCCCCGACAGAAGAAAGAGCCCCCTCTGCAGTTTGCAATAACTTGGCTTCTAAGTTGCCCTTCCTATGACTGACTTGTCACAGACCAAAGACACCTTCTGCTGGGGATCCAAGCAGCAGGTTATGGAGCCCCTTGGGGACCCACAGGTTAAAAAAAGCCGGCAAAATACAGCCCCAGCAACTCTTCTGCACACTTTTTTACCATGAATGGTTCAGAGGAGTGCGTTAGACCACACAGCTGCACTCACATAGGCAAAAGGAGAACTGAAAGTTGGGGCTTGGATCGTCTGTGACATGCGTCTGTTCTATAAATATCGGCAAAAGGTCCAAACCAATTGGGAAATCAAGCCAGAACTTTGTGGGGGGGGGAGGGGGGATTCCAGCTTAGTTCAAGCAAATGGTGCTCCACTCATGGGCAAGAAAACATCCCGTTTCCTTGGAAGACCCCCCCAAAAGTAGGGGAGCTGTGCCACTTGCTGCAACTCAAAAGCGCACCTTGTTGCATTGATGGCTTTGGGACCGCCACCACAACGTTGTGGTCTCTCAGCGTTAGAAATGAGGATGGGGCTAAGAGCACATGGGCAAACACGCAGGTTCCAGGGCAGACAGCTGCCCCTCTGGAAAGCCCCAGGAGGAGGAGAGGCAGCCTTGCGCTCCTTGACAAACCTACCGGTTGAGTCTAGCCAAGCTCTCCACCAACCAAAACTTGGGGCTCCTGGTCAGCTGCCCCCCAACCAAGCCTCCATCCATCCAGAGCCTCCAAACTTATGAACAGTGAATCACGCTTTTCCCTTTCTAAATGAAAATGGAAAACGGAATCTTCCTCTTATCTGAATGGCCAACTAGTTGCTTTCCAGCCGCGGAGGAGGAATAATTACCTTCCTTTAAGAAAGCGCAGCTCACCTGCCTCTCCTTTTCTGCACACACCCACACACAGGAGAGAGGGAGGGGCCCACAGAACAGGGATTCAACCAGAGGCAGAACTGCAAGGCCCCACCCCACAACACTCAGTGTTTAATAGGAGAGGAGGGGGCTAGCCCCTTCTGCTCTCCTCCCTGAGAATTCGAGGGCGCTGCCAGCTTGCCAGTTTATGACTGTTTCTCTCCAGTCTTCAGAGTCCCCAAACATTCCTTCTGCCCGAGCAATGCCATCAGCTAAGCTAGGTCAACAAGAGGGCGGTCTTGCCATGGCCCTTTCTCACGGCTCTCCTGGGTGGCAAAGGAGGCGCACGGGTGTCTCAAGGCAGGCAGCGGAGCCTCGGGAAAGCCAGAAGCAGAGAGCGCTCACACCGGTGGGATTCTAAGGCTGCAAGAGGTAGAAACTGACCTTGTGGGGACCGTTCAAGCTGCCCGTTCTGCAAGAGGGGCAGGGTGGGGAGCGCCTGATCACAAGCCATCTGGATGCCACTGAGCAACCCTGGATGTGGCCAGGGTGCCAGGCTCTTTATCTAGCAGCAGGTGACTGACCATAAACAAGTTGGGGGAATCCCAGCAGGGTGGTAAGGTGGAATTTCCCTCCGATTCTCCTATGAGGGTTTCAAAAACCATTTATTAAGTGCTTCCAAGGCTGTTAACCCCCTTTCTTCATCATGGCCTTTTCCGGGAAACAGCGAACACCCCGGTTTCGTACCCTGCCTGACCACAAACTCCACACGCCCTGCAGCGCTCAAGTACGTACCATCAGGGCAGGCAGATTCCTCACCAGGCAGCTCGAGTGCAAAACGTTCAGGACGCACGCCACTTCAGTCTGCTCGTGAGCAAGCAGAGGTGGGGAACTGCCTGCTCCCAAAGGGCTCCTCACTTGCCTCCTGTGTTGTGACTGATGCAGCATCAGAAGCGAAAGTGAGCTGCTGTTTCACTTTCTCCACCCTGTGATCCAGATTCCAGCAGGTCCACCCAGTGACTTCTTTGCGAACAGACAGGAGTTATTCCCCACATCTCCTTCCCTCTGTGCTTTGCATGCGCTCTCCTCCTGCCTCCTCCCACAGCCCGGTCACACGGGACAATTTTGCCTACCCCGTAGCCAAAGTGCGGCCGGTGGACGGCCACAGTGTGGACAGTTGCACTGACATCACTGCGCTGGCACTGAGGCGTGACAGAGACGGGCTGAGCTGGGACCCAGGAAGTCAGCCCAGGCCAACTCACAGGCCACTGATTGATGTGGGAACAGAAAGTCGCTTTCGCCTCCCAACGCAATAGTGCTGGTCAGGCGGGTGATGGCAACGAGCCGCAGTCCTGCTCTTGGCAACCTCCGGGTACGCTGACTGTACTTCCTGACGTTCTTCTAGGCAGCCGCGGTCGCCGGGACCGTCACCCAGTGCATCTGGGGCTCGCTGGAGAAGATGGATGTGTCACAAGGCTCATCCCGAGGGCCAGCAGGGAGGCCCCGTCCACCATTTCTCTGCCCTTCTCCTTGCAGAGGATATGGGGGACTGGAGGTGGCAGGCCCTTGTGATCTCTCCTCCTGCCCCGCTGCCTCACCCTGGAAGAAAGGGCTTCCAGGGGCTGACCCTTCAGCTGCTAGCCCCACCCCACCCCCGGTGGGTTTCTGCCGACATCCTCCAGGAGCAGCGACTCCACGGGCCGGCCCCGCATCCCCGCAGGCGAGTTGCTGACCCTGAGCGTTCCCTCTGGTCTGGGCAGGCTCCAAACTTCCAGCTGGAAAACTGGACCAGCGCCTGGTGCTGAGGCAGAAGCCCACCCCTGCCTTCTCCCTGGGCTGCGGAGAGCCTTCCTCGCTGGGAGCCCCTGAAGAGAAGCCCCTGCCTCTGAACAAAGGATGGGAAGGGGCCGTAGCAGCCCAGAGGGTGTCCCTTCTCCACCCCGGGGAGCGCGAAGGGCGAGGCCAGGGTAGATTCGGCTCTTGGTTCTGATGCTGTGGGCAAGGGGGTCTTCCGTGCCCCACAGAGAGGGGCTCCAGGATCGCTCGGCACAGCAGCCAGAAGCAGGAGGAAAGTCTCCTGAGCAGACAGCTCAACGTTTCCAAGAAATTAATCTAACGTTAGAAGGCTATTCATACTGAAACTCTTGATGGTAACTGTCGGTGCCCTATTCTTATCTCGCAAGTAGGTCCCCTCAACAAGGAGTTTTGCAGGTGGGTGGGGAGGTTACCAGAGTCAGGACAAAAAGGAAATAAATAGCTGAATTTCACAAAGCCAATCCAATATTTCTATTGGCCATCGCTGAGGTTCCTTTCTCAAATTAATTAAATCATGGCTTCAAGATTTTAAAACAAGGTTCCAGAATGTCCCCCTGCCCTATTTATGATGATAAATTGAAATGCAACAGTAATATTTAAATCTTAGATCCAAGCAGCAACATAAGGTCAGAAAGGCAGTTAGCAAAACAGATGGCGGGGGGGGGATCAAGCACTAATTTAATTCTCAAATAGGATAAAACCCCCCCCCCCCCCCCTCCCT